TGATGGACAGATAATAATATTAGGATGAAGTGAACCGAAAAAATATTTTTTGTGTTTTTTCGAGTCGACCTATAGCCCACAATTGGAAGTCGAACATCACAACACAGCCCTCGGTGAAGGGAATTTGGACAAGTAATTAGATTATGAATGAATAGTACTAGTATTTGTTGACCTCTAGCCGGTTACAATATAAAAGAATATAGAACCACAGAAAGTTAGCTTTTCGTTGAAGTCGTGTAGGGTATCATATGGTCGGTCCCGCCCGACTATACTGCTCCGCTCACTGGTTTTGTAAATAGGTTCATTTAGGACGTGAAATATAGGCCCCCGACCCATTTTTGATTATTTTCATGACAGAGAGAGAATGTAATTTCTGAAGGGCCATTGCCTTCTTCGGGGACCATTTTCTATAGGTCCAGTTTTTGTAACCTGCTGGCCAACTTTACATTATATTTTCATGGCCACATGTGCCACGATGTTTACAGATTGTTTTCTATATAGGTCCATTTAGGATGTGATATATAGGCCCCGACCCATTTTTGGGTATTTTCATGGCAGAAAGATATTGTAATTTCTGGCACGACGCAAATTAAGAACGTTTAACTTATTTTAATTATAATTTGACTTCGCATGAATGTATTATCGAATCTGAGAGCCTTAATTATTGAACCATACCTCGTAACAAATTGCACACTCATTTAAATATGCATAATAAGTCAGAGAAAAAAAAAACAATTTAAAATATCAAAAAATAAAATAATCATCTCTCTCACACATACACAGAGACATAGGCAGACAATGAAACAATGGCCGAAACAAAATAGGCACGACACGACTATGAAATTGTTGAACATCTACATTTCCATATGAAATAATGCACAGGATTGATACAAATGCTCCCCTCTGGTACACACACACACACACAGGGAATTTCACTTACATTTCCACAAAGCCTCACACAATATCGTACATAGGTACAGGATCAACTACATATTATTTATGGCTTTATAAATGTTCACTCATATGCAGGAGGCATACACTGGTTGTTGGCTTTTTTCCAGTCACCCCATACAGCCACGCACACACACACAGTTGTACTTAAATACTTGTAAATGTGCTTTGTGTCTGATTGTGAAGAACATAGGAATCTGGCTTTAATAAAATTTTAATTTTATATTTTGACTGTCATCACAGCAATGAAATGAAAAACGCATAATACATGAGACTTACTACTACTCGGATGATGTTATGAATTAAGTGCAGAGACTATATGGATAGTAGTGCGTACGTACTCTGATCTCTTTTGTGGTACAGGGGAATTTTTACCATTCCATGAATTCACACGTTAGCTGTCACAATTGCATACAATTATTTATAAAATATGTCTAGCAAACAATTTTGCATGATATCATTAAAAACTAAAACAAGTGAAACAAGCGTTAAGTTCAATCGGGTCGAACTTTGGATACCCTTCATCATAGGTATACTGACAGGTATTTGCAATGAAATTATATGGAACATATCACAGAGTGGACATTACCGATATTCCTACAAAACGATTTATTTAAACCATTTTATACACCAAATATAAATTTCAGCAATTTTAAATGGGGTTTTTTCCTAAAATGTGAAACCCCCAAACGTGGACTGATACGGATAACGCATGGTAGAGTATAAAATCGTCGAACTACGCAATTTAGAGTGCAATGTTACATGAGGCTATGCTTTAAAGGGGACCAATATAACATAGCTAGGAAATTAGCGAATATTTGAGGTTATCATTATGGAGCTATACCTAATTAATGACCGACATAGCTGAATTTCGAACGCAAAATTTTTGATTTTGTGTCTCAATACATTCCTCCAGGAGATGCCATTATATTGGGATGCATAAATGCTGGCCGATATATTTCATAATCGTCAGGTTCGACTTTTTTATCTCGATATCCTTAGAAGGCGGAATGATTAGAACAGATGACTGCATCGTCTTAGAATTCCATACTTTGTAGGGAAAAAACTAACAATTTCGAGTAACGAATATCCCCTACACGCCTATATGGGGACCACCCCAACACACGGAACAAATCAGTTAACAATTTTAATATGAACCAGTAAGGAAAGTTCAAAAGTCGGACGGGCCGCCTCTATGATGTCTTTTTGATTGAACAGACATACTATTTTTAAAGGAACATCGGCATAAAATCGAACTAAATTAAATATGTGATATACAATTGAAATTTAAATCCAATAACATGTCATTCTGAATTCTTTGCAAAATGCGTTATCATCTCGTGCAAACGAAAGAAATGTGGGGATAAGGTGTTCCATTAACATAAAATCGGTCGAATATATATATATATATATATATATATATATATATATATGGGAGATAAATCTGCACCGATTTTCACGAAACTTAGCACGCATCATTCTATATTTCCATATTCGTCCAAATCTGAGCAACATTTACTTTAAATCAGAAGAAAATAAGTATGGGAGCTGTATCTAAAACTGGATCGATTTTTACGAAACTTAGCACACATCATTCTATATTTAATTCAGAGATTTATATTAACTCGGACGAAAATATATATGGGAGCTATATCTAAATCTAAACTGATTTTCACAAAACCTAGCACACATCATACTAGAGTTATTCCAATAGGTTATACAAAATTTCGTCCAAATCGAAAGATATATTGGCACATTGGAGCACGAATTACGTTAAATCAGACCAAAAATATATATGGGAGCTATATCTAAATCTGAACCGATTTTCAGAAATCTTAACAAACATCATTCTAGACTTCATTTAGTAGGCTATACCAAATTTCGTGCAAATCGAAAGATATACAGGGACTTTGGTACACCATTTACCTTAAATCGGACGATTTTGATTTTCAGGAAACTTGACACACATCAATCTAAACCTAATCCAGTACGTTATGCCAAATTTCGTGCAAATCGTAAGATATATAGGGACTTTGGAGCACCAGGTACATTAAATCGGACGAAAATATATGTGTGAGCTATATCTAAATCTGAACCGATTTTCAGGAAACTTAACAGGCATCATACTCTACCTAATTCAGCACGCTATGCCATATTTCGTGCAAATCGAAATATATATAGGGACTTTGGTGTCCCATTTGCATTAAATCGGACAAAAGTATATATAGGGGCTATATCTGGATCTGAACCGATTTTCCTCAATTTCAATAGACTTCGTCCCTGGGCAAGATAAATAAGCTGTGGCCAATTTCATCCAATTCAGATTGTAAATGCGACCTCTACTTTGTTTACAATTTAACATGGACAGACGGATGGATGGGCATACAAAAATCGAGTCAGAAAATGATTCTATGCATATTATCTTTTCCTTTTGCCTATTACATACATATGCACAAATATGCCGGTGTGATGAAGGTTATTAAAAGAGGGTTATATGGGGACTACCCCTTAAAAGTGGGCGAATATCGGTTGAAAAACGCGATCGGGAACCCTAAAATACCGGAAATTGTATGGTACCCTTATATGGGTGATACCCAAAAAATGGACCTATGTTTATATTTTTTGTGGAGAGATTTCCTACGCAATAACACCTCAAAGTACTAAATTACAGCCAACTCAGTCGAAAAATACGTTCGAAACACCCAAAATACTGAACATTGGGGGACCGTTATATGGGCAAAAAAGTGGACTTATATTTATAATTTTAAGTGGGGAAATTTGGTACACAATAAGAACGCAATGTACCAAATGTAAGCGAATTCAGTTAAAAACTCGCCCAAGAACCCCAAAATAGCCTTATATGGGAACTATGCCTAAACGTGGACCTTTATAGCCCATCTTCGAACTTGACCTGCCTGCACACAAAAGAAAAACAAAATGAATATACCCTACATACTATGGTGGAGGGTATAACAATAGAACAGAAGCCGGACATAAAAAAAATCAAGAAACTTTTTGCTATATAATTAATTACCGCCGAATGGTGCTTTTCATAAACTTAACCATATAAAGAACCAATTCACTTCAGAGTCAGTCTATTATAATAAAATGTTTGTGAAGAAACAGTTAAACACAGAATTTCACGAATATTCCACGAATTGGAAACTCTACTCACATATCAGAGCATTTCTGTATTTCAACATCTACCTCTCTCGGTTCATGTGTCTTTATATTTTTACGGAAATGCATAAAACCACTTTGGAAATTCAACTTTCATTTCGAATTGCATTTCATGCGTCTTTTTGCATATTATTGTTTTAAGGCTAAAAATGGAGCTGTATAGCACTGTGGGGGGTGGTTAGATCAAAAGTACTGCAGCCTTCAAAGTTTCCTTTATTTTTTCAAATGAACAGAACCCATTCGTATTTTGAGTCTTTATGCCCCCAAACAAAAGGTTGAATGAAATATTAAATTCATAAATTGTCTGTTCGTTTTGTTTATCATTCACTTGATCTTCAAATGTTACGTTATGAAGGGGTGAGTTGAAAAGAATACAAGAATTTTTGGTTGGTTTTATTCAATTTTCCAAGACCAAGGACAAAATAATACAAGAATGCGTACTATGAAGGATACCAAGAAAAATTCTTTAAAAATTTAAGAGGTGCTTTATAGAAGTATTATATTATGTATCTGGGTAAATATTCAATGGAAATGGTATTTTTTCAAGTATGATGTAGCATTCGACGGAAGTAGTTGTTCAGATTAAACCTTATTAATTTTTTTAATTGTATGTAAAATATAAAGTTAATAAATATGAAAATAAAATGCTTCATACTTGGAAAGATATAATATGCAATATGACGAATTAATGATAAACAACTTCATTTTTGGTATTATTGAAATTAATTTGTTTACTCAACATATGAGAATATTGCCTTAATGGTAAATTATATTAAATAATATTAAAAAAAAACTTTTTTAAAAAAGAAAAAAAAAACTTACATTACTACTACTTTTCTTTTTCTTCTCCTTCATCTTCCCATTTGCAGACACAGCACAGGCTGCATTGCGTGATGTCAATTTATTCATTGAACCACCTGCCGTTCGTCGCAGCCAATCGGTTACATTACGCTGTCTCTATTCTCTGGAGGGTGCACCATTGTATTCTGTGAAATTTTATCGTGGCCAATTGGAATTCTTTCGCTATACGCCCGGTGAATATCCGAATACAAAAGTTTTTCATTATCCCGGAATAAAAGTCGATGTAAGTATGAAAATATAATTTCAGACAATATCGAAGACAAAGCAGATAAGCCATGTTCAATATTCATATGAGTTTTGTTTTTCTTGTTGTCCTATAGAAGTGTAGCTTTTAAATGGAATTCATAAGCTTATTCATAAGCTGGGCATTTTCATGGGAAATGTAATAATACAAAGACATGCATTTTATTTTCAAGAAAGATTACATGGGTATTGAATTATTTGACTTACTCTCAAAAAATAATTTCGCAGATATTTTTAACAAAAACCAGTAAAGAAAGTAGTAAAGTCGGACTGGGCCGACTATATGATACCCTTTACCACTTTGGCTATATACAAAATATGCATCCTAACAGACCTCGCATTTTTGAAGGACAATTGACATGAAAGTGGACTACATTAAAAATATGAAAAATAAAAATATGTCTAAATGTGAACCGACTTAACCGTACGTTCAATAACCGGGTGCATTTGTACCTTACTATGGTGGAGGGTATATTAATTTATTTTTCCGTTTGTAACTCATCGAAATAATCATTTCCGACCCTATAAACTATATATATATATATATATTCTTGATCAGCGTAAAATTCTATGATTATTAAAGCATGTCCTTCTGTCCGTGGTAATCACTCTAGCCACCAAAAAAAAATTGAGATAAATCACCAAAATGTTGCGTAGAGTTACATTTCGTCTGCAGGCAGGTCAAGTTCGAAGATGAGCTATATCGGCCTACAGATAGGCATTCCAGGGTACCCCCCATTTTGGGGTTCTTGAGCGTGCTTCTTTGGTACATCAATCTACACACATGTTCTCGGTAACCTATGCCAAATTCCACGTTATCTGGGCAATTATAGATTCGTTTTTGTGCAATGGGACAAAATTTAATTCTTTAGTGCACCATTTGCCAAAAATTGGACGGACATATATATGGGAGCTATATCTAAGCTAAACAACTTGGCACACGTTAGGCTATCCTAATTACTGTGAGTTGTGCACAATTTTGTCCCAATCGGGCTAAATTTGACTCTTTGGTGCACCATTTGCTAAAAATCGGACGAACATATGTACGGGAGCTATATCTAAATCTGAGCCGATTTCCACCAATTTCAATAGAGTTCATCTTTGGGGCAAAAAAGTGAGCTGTGCCAAATTTAATCCAGATCGGATCATAAATGAGATCTGTACTTTGTTCACAAAAATACACGGACAGACGGACATGCATAAATCGACTCAGAAAGTGATTCTTTTCATATTATCAAAAGGAACAATTGGTCTATCTCGTTTCCTTTTGCCTGTTACAAACATATGCACAAGGACATAATACCCTGTACCACAGTGTGGTAAAGGGTATAACAAGGTAAAGGATATACAAGGTTATATGGTGACTGCCCCTAAAAGGGGGTGAATATTAATAATTCTTGGTAGGGAGTTTTGTTATCATATACGACTACAATGTACCAAATGTACCGAATTCGGTTGCAAAAGGCGTTCAAGAACCCCAAAATACTGAAATTTGGGGGGTACCCTTGTATGGGAGCTATGCCTAGACGTGGACCCATAAAGCTCATCTTCGAACATGACCTGCCTGCAGACAAAAGACGACTCTATGCAAAAATTTGGCGATTTATCTCAATTCATTTAGATGCTAGAGTGATTACAACAGACAGATGGACAGACGGACTTGTTTATATCGTCATAGAAATTTACGCTGCTCAAGAATATATGTATATATATATTATAGGTCGGAAATTATTATTTCGATGAGTTTCAAACGGAGAAACAAAATTAATATACCCTCCATACTATGGTGGTCCGATATGGTCCGATATTGAGCACGATATTATCTTTAACCAGTGAACGAGGCCAACCACTCCTCAGCTATCAATACATCCTCCAGGAGTAAATATATATGCCATAGAATACAAATTTTGTCATTTTTCACACAAAAGTCGGGGCCGACCATATGATACCCTACACAACTTCCACGAAACTATAACTTTTTATGGTTCTAAATCCTCAGCTTGGGCAATATTTCACGATATTTGCACCCTCTTGACCGACTAGAGGTTCACAAATATTACAAATATTCAGTACAGTCCTTCTAATCACTTGTCCAAATTCCCTTCACCGTGGGTTGTGTTGTGATATTCGGCTTTCAATTTTCGCCTATAGATCGACTCGAAAAAAAAAACACAAAAAAATATTATCTGATTGTCACCGAAAATTATAGGCGTTGTCGGTGACCATTACTTGAACCTCATGGAAAATTTCAAAGCGATCAGCTCTATATTTCCACCCTTTAGTGGAAATATAGAGCCTGTAAGTATTTATATGTAAGTACCGCATCCGAGTACATACGACAATATAATTGATATCAATTTAAAGGTCAACCACTCCTCTTGAACATACTATCGATTTCTCGGGTCTAGGACCTTCAGGTGCAAATATATACCCCATAGAATACAAATTTTGTAATTTGTAATTTTTTTTTAATTTTTCACACAAAAGTCAGGGTCCATTTGATCCGCTAAATATTAACCGATCTTTATCAAAACAGGCATGCTTATTCTTTGGCCCGATCCCCTTCTCCATGCAAAAAATTCGCGGTGTTTGGGTCATAATTGCGGCCTCTGGAACGACCAGAAAACCCGACAAAAATAAAGTTTTTGGTCCATTTCATCCCCTAAATATTAACCGATCTTTTCCAAAAACAATAGAGGTCTTCATTGGCCAGAACCCATCCTACATGCAAAATTTTGTGAAGATTGGTCCATAACTGTGGCCTGTATCATGGTTACAAATTATAATGGACAGACGGACGGACGGACGGACACACATGTCTAGATCGACTCAGCTAGTCGAAATATGACGATCGGTATACTTAGAGGTGGGTCTAGGACCAATATTTCGCGGCGTTACAAACTTTTGGGGCTGCACAAAGCTATAATACCCTGGCAACATAGTTGTGTAGGGTATAATAATAACACATTATTTTATGAGTGTAACAATTGATTATATTTTTATATCTATATGCATATACATATATATTTTTTCTCTATTTATATTCACATTAAAATAAAACAACAAAAAAACTGTTTCATGACATTTTGTACTCATTCCAATTTATTTTATTTCTTCTTCATATTTTTTTCTACTTTCTTTCACAGGAGAGCGTTTCGAATGCCACTCAAGTTGTTATACGCAATGTGAACTTTGGTTTATCTGGAAATTTTTCCTGTGAAGTTACTGCCGATGCTCCATTATTTTCGACGGCCACAGCATATGCTCAGATGCAAGTTGTCGGTAAGTCTTGTCAGCCAGCCAGCCAGCCAACCAACCAGCTGGCCAACTTTTCTGTGTGCCATACAATGGAAAAGTTTTTCTCCTCTTGGTTGTTGTTTTTATAATCTCCTACGTAGGTTATATTGTTGTCCGTCCATCCGTCCACATGCCCTTGTATAAAACTATTCGTTTGTAAAGTGTGCGATGAACAGAAAAGACACGTAGTGGTGGTAGCCTTTATAGAAGGAAGGGAGTTATTTTCCAGGTTTTTTTAAAGGGCGGAATTCAACCAACTCAAACCAATTATTAAACACTAGACTCTGGCCTACGACCCTACGATTGTAATTGCTAAACGGCTCGAGAGACATGGAGTGGAGTAGTGGTGGCGAGGGTGCCAATTCTTACCCTTTGCCAATAGTAAAGATGGCCTTTAAGAATGTACGACGGTACGGTAGTTTTGCTCTGCTTTTCGTTTGGCAGCATTTTAGGCAGAAAATAAAACTTTTAATTGAAATACTTTGTACGAAAGGACCAACAAAAAAAATTAAGAGGAAGGAGAACACAACAGCAAATAAAAAGCAATTTTTTGTGACACATTTAAAAGATTTTACAGTTCTTGGCTGCTACAACAGCTGTTTCTATGGCGACATACGTAGCTACCTTTTGGTGATTGCCTATCCACCTACCACTGCTCTCTTTAATTGTTTTATATTTGGATGCAACAAATATACACGAAAATTGAATTTAAATAGTTTTCAGATTGTTGCTTTCACTAGGGAATTTAACAAAAGTGAAGTTTTTCCCCAGAATTGGTGGGTACAGTGATTTCAGAAACTTTTTCCACTCCACTCCATGACATTGAGGTGTTGGTTTGAGTTTCGAGTATTGTGTGCTTGTCAACATTGATTGCTTTAAAATTGGTAAATTAAATTATTCCCTAACAAGAGATGCTATAAAATGTATTCAATTGATAAAGATTAATGAAATAATAAAAACGAAATGACAAAGTGTTTAATTTAATTTATTAACAACGTGTAGTTTATTGCTTTAGAATTTTATTGTGATAGAAGCACGGAAAATTGTAAAATAATAAAAGAAACCATTCCGCAATATATGTCCAAGATAATAAATTGAACAGTTTGCACCTGAAATGAAATTAGGCTTTATTTGACCCAAAATGTAACCCTACTGAAATATCTGGGGTATCCTTCCTCATTCATTCGCACAACCGTTCGCCCTAGCCACCGTAGTCGCTGCAGCTCAATAGGTCTGACTATGTCGATGTCCGTGTATAGAGGGTATATACTCGTGATTCATTAATCACCGTCGGCGCAGTTCGGCCCGTTGATTTTTCGGAGAATTTTTCTCTCAATACCTCTAAAAGCTGGGTCATCTACCCATGTTTCAGAACCACACACCAGTATGGAATAAATCTCTCAAGATACCAGTGTGGTTAGTATCAGCGTCTTGTAGACTGTGAGTTTGGTCTGGCGAGAGGTGGCCTTGTTCCTAAATTGAATTACTAAGAATATATTAGCACCTTTTTGGCCTTCTCCAAAATTCAAAACTGATGCCGTAAGGTGTATTTATTGGCGGTGACAACGTATATAAAATCGTTGACTACCTCAAAGCTGTAGTTCCACAATTAGTCCGAGTCTACTGGACGTATTGCGCGTTGATACAATCAGCTTGGTCTTCTCGCCATTTTACTACCGGTCCCACTGAGGCCGACTCCTTCTCAATACGTTCAAATGGCAGTGTTACCGCTCGCAATGTTCCAACCAATGTTTCGATGTCGTCGACATAGGCGAGTAATATGTGTTGTTTTGTGTACATAGTGTCATTTCTGTTCACATTTGCATCTCGTATCACCTTTTTCAGCCTCACTCGAGGGGCTGTCACCTTGTCTGGACCCTCGTTAGGTATTGAAAAGTTCCGATAGGTCAATTCCAAATTTACCTGTTGACCTTGTGTCAATTTAAAACTTCCTGCATAGCCCTATTAAGTTTGCAAGAATGCTGGCCTTAAACACCTTGGAGTGGATAGGGCTGTCGAATGTAGCTTTATAGTCGACGGATAGGTTTAATGTGTTGATGTGTTTTTCGTGAATCTTTTCCAGGAATTGGCTAAAGCTGTGTTGTCCAATAACGTCATTGGCTTCAGTCGTTCACACAGCACCATGGATAGCATTTTATTTGCAATGGGAAGGAGAATAATTCCTATACAGTCGTTTCTTTTTGGACACGGAACACAGAATGCTGAGGTTCCAGTTATTGGGCATACATTCCTCTAGCCCAGTTAACCTAATCAGGTGATATGTGATCTTGATCAGCACCTTCAATAGTACGTCTGGTAACCCATTGGCGCCAGCTCCTCTATTATTATTCAGCCGATTAGATAATATTCTGACCTCATCTTGGCTAGGTTGTATACAATATATACCGTAGTCACATTTAGATATAGCTTCTATATATAACTTCATCCGATTTTATGTAAATAGTCGACTCAACATCCGATGTAGTATGCATCCATAATTTTCCAGATTGTAATTTTGAATGACGTGTATTAGACTCCATTCACTCAGCGGTGATTCTTGGATATAATTTACTTTTGACTCGTTTCATAAATCCCGTTACGCAATTCAGTACACTTTCGTGCAAATCGAAAGATATATACGGTCTTTGGTGCACCAATTAACTTAAATCGGATGAAGAAGATACATATGGGAGCTATATTTAAATCTGAACCTATTTTCACGAAACTTAACACACATCATTCCAGACTTAATTCAGTACGCTATGCCAACTTTGTGCAAATCAAAAGATTTCCAGGGACTTTAGTGGACTATTTACCTAAAACCGGGTGAAACTATTTGCACACATCATTCTAGACTTAATTCAATACGCTGTGCCAAATTTCGTGCAAATCGAATGATATATAGGGACAATGGTACACCATTTACCTTAAATCGGATGAAGATATATATGGGAGCTATATCTTAATCTGAACCGATTTTCATGAAACCTAACACACATCATTCTAGAGCCAATTCAGTACGATATGCCAAATTTCGTGCCAATCGAATGATATTTAGGGACTTTAGTGCACCATTTATATTAAATCGGACGGAAATATATATCGGAGCTATATCTAAATCTGAATCGATTTTCACCAATTTCAATAGTGTTCGTCCTTGTGTCAAACCAATGAGATGTACCAAATTTCATCCAATTCGGATTATAAATTCGATTTTGTTTCCAATTTAACACCAACAAACGAACGGATATGCATAAATCGACTCAGAAAGTTATTCTATGCATATTCTCAAAAAGAACTATGGGTCTATCTCGTTTCTTTTTCCCTGTTACACACATATGCACAAAGGGTATTAAAAAAGCACAGATCGATAGAAATTAAAATTTGAATGGGAAGGAGTAGCTAAAATAACAGAACCCAAAAGAGAATTCTGCATACATGTATTAGAGATTATTTGCTTCCTACGGCAAATAGAACCAGGAAGGAAAGCAGTAAAATCGGACTGGGCCGACTATATGATACCCTTCACCACTTTGGGTATATTCAACATATGTAACCTAACAAACGTCGGGAACAAATCGGTTATATATCTGAACCGATTTCAGGGAAACTTGCCAGAGAGAAGATATATAGGGACTTTGGTGACCAATTACATAAAATCGGACGAAGATATATATGGGAGCTATATCTAAATCTGAACCGATTTTCAGGAAACTTTGCACATATCATTCTAGACTTAATTCAGTACCCTATACCAAAATTCGTGCAAATTGATACCATTTACCTTAAATCGAACGAAGATATATATGGGAGCTATATCTAAATTTGAACCGATTTCCTCGAAACTTAACACACACATCATTCTAGACTTTATTCATTACGCTGTGCCAAATTTCGTGCAAATCGAAATCTATGTAGGGACTTTGGTACACCATTTACCTTAAATCGGATTGAAATATATATGGGAGCTATATCTAAATCTGAACCGATTTTTCAATAGGGTTCGTCCTTGGGCTAAACTATATATGGGAGCTATATCTAAATCTGAACCGAGTTTTCAAGAGGGTTCGTCCTTGGGCCAAACAAATGAGCTGTGCCAAATTTCATCCAATTGGAATCATAAATGCGACCTGTACTTTGTTTACAATTTAACATGGACAGACAGACGGACGGACATGCAAAAATCGACTTAGAAAGTGATTCTATGCATATTCTCAAAAGGATCTATGGGCCTTTCTGCTTTTCTTTTGCCTGTTACAAACATATGCACAAAGGCGTAATACCCTGTATAAAAGGGAAATAACCGGGGTTCATTGATTTCTATGAAAAAAGTCTCTTTTTTAGCTTATGTGATAGCTCATGGAAATTATAATACTAAAGAAAAAAATTCACTTTTCCCCAAAATAAATTTTAAATTGATCGTGAACAGTTCTGTTTCCTGTTATGTAAAGTAATATGTCAAAAAATCTTAAACTTAATAACATTGGGAATTCTGAATATTAAATTAAAAAAAATAAAAAATATGTTGAAGAAAAAATTACAAACTAATTGGCAAATATTTCTTACATGTTTATGCATATCACTCATTTGCTGCAAGACAGGCATAACTCAAAAAACCGATTTTGCAGAAAATTCGTTTTAAGTTTTCAATTTACTCACACTTTATATGGGACAGAGGAACTTCTACAGCTTCTTAATTAGAGCGTGTGAGGGATATTCATATGAATTTTTTACACATGAGGTCTATTATAGCGAACAATCGTGCATCATTAAATCGAAAATCACGTTTTTTGAGTTATGCCTCTCTTGTAGCAAATGAGCGATATGTTATGTGAAAGCATTTTTAAAAATTATACAATCTTTATCATATCTCTAGGTTTTCGTTAGTTAGCAAATATTCCATTTGTCTATTTAACACACAATAGTTGACAGTGTCTTTAAAATTGCTATTCCTTTAAATATTTATAATTATAACAGAACTTTTC